TAGGAGGCCTGAAGACAGAGCCCGGCTGCTCTGGAAGCTTTCTACAGAGAACTGCAAGTCCTGTGCACAGTAGACACAGCATTCTTAATTTTGGTTCCCTTCACTTGAATTAACTCTTCTTGTTGCCGCTCCTGGGCTGTCTGACACCCTTGGTTTTCTCAGGTGGTTGAGGTGGAGATGAGCTGCGGGTGCTCTACAGCTCAACGGCTTATCTGTCATGCCAGTGGCAACTGCTCATTCTTCTTTCCCTTTCTCAGCTTAACCCAGGACACCAGCGATGCTTTATCCCTGTGACATGCTCAGCTTCCGCTGGCCCACGACCTGCTTACAGGCTTTGAAATGGGATCCCTTGACTGGCTGTGACCCACGCTGGTGCAATGGCTTGTGCGGCAGTTTAATTTACCACTCACCTGTTTGCGTATCGCTTGCTTTGCTACTTGGAATAGAAAGCGAAGATGGACATTTCTGAATGAAGTGGATTTCACTATTGATAAAGGAAACAGGAAGACTGGACCACTTGTGAGTGTCTGGTTTGGTTGTTTTGGAGAGCGAGAAATGTTTTTATTAAAATCACTGGTTGCTGTTCTGTTCCTTGTAATGTGTGTACATACCAGATGTTAGCTCCTGAGTCCTGGGAACAGCAGAGTTCCCATGCCTGAGAAGTGCCAGAGAGAAAGGTTTGGTGGTTCTAGAGATAGCCTGATGTTGCTTTTCAGTGTATTCCCCTGCTTTGGGTGTCAAAAACGAAAGTGGGATGCTGGAGTTTCCCATAACTCCCTGAAGTACACCCTGACTTAAAATTTTATGGGTTTCCCCTTTTTCATTAATTTTTAGGTCTCAAATGCTCAAATACAAATACTACAATACAGAGGTGGAAAAATTGAGGGAGCCCTAAAATATGTTTTAAGACCAGTGTTAACGAGTGGTGTCTACTTTCTACTCTGCACCTGTGTTCCACCTGATAATAGGTCTCATTTTTTAAAAAAATGGAATAAATAACAATTTCTCTTTCCCATTTTCTTTCTTCCTACATTCCCTTTAAAATTCATCTTCCATTGCTATTTCTTCTTCCCCCAGGCTGTAGCCCAGTAATGCTACCTTTCACTGGTGCTCAGGCACAGAGGAACAGTAGCAGTGCACTGAAGGATGTTACTGGGATGTCTTGTTGGTTAGAAGCTGTGCTGTCACTGCATTGAAACAGCCTGCATTAGGTGCTAGAAATGAATTTCCTTGACCTAATTTTTACTTATGCTGATGCTCCAGTACTCTTGTTAATACTTCTGGCACAGATCATTGCTGAGAAAAAAGTAGTGCTTTTTTCCTCACTGTCTGATGAAGCCATTTGTACTTGAATTTTGAAACGTTCTCAGTTGAGCTATATCATTCTACAACTACTGTTGCATAGCTATAAATGATGTAAAAATGTACAGAAATGCAGAGGAGGAGGACCCCGGAGTCATTCTGCAGCTAAACCTCAATGAAAAATGTATGTGTGTCAGACGTGGGCTAGATCAGGGATAAAATGATAGCTTGGGTTTTGCTTGCAGGTTTTTGTTTTCTGGTCAACCCTAAGACATCTAAGCACCTTTTCTTTTCATCACATTCATCTTTTTACTTCAAATGACCAAAAGCCCCACTTTGCTTTGTAAATAAAACAAATCCTACTTTTGAAAACAAGAGCAGCTGAGGACGAAACCGTAGGCTTTGAAGATAAGAGACGGGTTTGTTACAGAGTGAAGTAAGAATATATCAGGCTTCTGTCCATTTGAAGTAAATATTGATAGTATGCCTTTGTTCATCACTCACATAAATCTGCAGAAATAAGTCTTTACATCACAGATCACAGCTGCCAACTGCTCTTAAGTCTGTTACTTCCAAAGAATTCAGATTTGTAATGGTGTTGTGACCACCTTGATCTGCTATGGCTTAGGCCAAGACCTAAGTCTATTTTACCAAGTAAAAGGAAACTCAGAGTGATGAGACAGAAGGAAAAAACCCACAAACAACCTTCATAAAGAAATCAAAGCTTGCACTGTTGATTATTTTTATCAGTGATGTGGGTCTCTCTTGCGTATCAAGCTGCTTAAATAATTTATATTTGAAGAACCAGCTTAAAGTAAATGTGAATAAAAGGGAGAAAGTTTTAAGCCCTGGACAGCCTGAATTTATTTTTGGATCTGTAAATAAATGTTATCTATATAAAATCAATTAGTTTAAAGAGAATATTTTTCCCCCACTATCTGGTAGGAGTGGCTGTACAATGAGAAATGAATTCTTGGGCTGGGTTGACTGCTCCAGCTGCTAGGCTACTGGAGTGCATAATCTTCTGGTTCTTTACCAGAAATTTCTCTCTGGATCCAAGAAATGTTCACAGTTACAATTTAGGCAGACAGATGCTTTCTTTGTGAAAGGTCTGTTTTAATGAATTTATTTACTCTTTTAAGTTCTATCTACCCAGGAAAAAAAAGTAATTGGTGTTCAGACAGCTCATCAACAGGAAAACCCAGACAGATGGTTGAGGAACTGTTTTTGCTTATTTTTTTCCTACTTGCACTGCAGGAAATGACTGTCATTATTTGCAGCTTTCTGTGAGATGATGTCATGACCACTTTCACTGCTGTGGTGTTCTTTTTTTTTTTTATTTGTGGAATTTAAATGTGAAATTCTTATTCATGTTTAATCAGACTCATGTTGACCACAAGCCAAAGTTTGACGATGACATGCACGTTATACAGTGTAGTGACCGGGGGGAGGGGAAACCCTCATAAATGCCATTACTGATCAAGGCTGGAGAACTCATAATGGAGGGCCCCAAGAGTAGGTGAAATCCTGGTTGAGGAGCAAAGAGCTTTTATACTTGGAAACATCTAACCACACTCTTTAGTTTCCAAACCAGTCTGTCTATGTTAAAATTGTTCATACAATACAAACCATAGTTTCCTAGGTGCATCCTGCGCTTCAGCTCTGTGGGGTAGGGAATAGAGTGGGAGTTTCTTGGGGAGGGAAGAAGGACTTTGACGACTTGTGACTGGGGACAAACCATCCCTGCACTGTACTGCAGGTGTGTATCTTTTTGACAAGCCAAGCTCTGATGGAGGGATGCACATTCTTCTTTACTTTTCAGAGAGCCAGAGCACCCAAGCTGCAGGCCAGATTTACCAGATCGCCAGCTGAGTGTGGCAGATGAAAGGCTAGTGCCCATCTACACAGCTGCATGTACATGGCTAAAAAACAAACCTCATCTGCTGTTATTGTCAACAAGTGTAATTTATTATTATGGCCAAGGCAGCCAGGAAAGTGCCTTTTGCTTTTGTTGGGAATTATGTTGTGCACTGAAATGCTGATGACTGTGCCAGAAATGTTGCTTTTTTCACTTGAGTTTTTTGGAGATTCCCCCACCCCCCAAAAAATTTATGCTTCTTAAGTGAAGCAGTGGTCTGTGTCTATTGGAGCTACTTGCAGCTGCCATCAGACATCTGGCTTACAGAATCAATAGTCTTTGGTAGACAGAAACTCATGAACCACTGGGAGGCAGGTGGTAGCAGCTGTATGTGTGAACGAACTGTAACCACTGGGGTTTGTCCTTGGAGGAAGCAGATTAAGACCAACACTAAGAGGTATCTGGGGACAGGCTTTATGTCTTTCCTAAGGCTTCTTATAGTTCCTCACCTACAGCAAGACAATATAACTTCCTGGTATTTCCTCAGAACCTGTTGAGCTCATTCTGCAGTAACGTGAATGCCAGGTAATAACTGTGCTCTTTAGACAAAGAAAGTTGGGGTGATTTTGTGCAGTGCATATGCTAACTTCAATTTAAACTTGAGTCATAAAATCAACTACCTTTTGTTCATTTGCTGTACAAGATGCCCGATGTGTCTCTTCCACTAGATAGTCCTAGTCGTCACTCAGTAACCAACTCAATCTTTTTTCAAAACCAAAGTTTGATGCAGAATGTTATGCCAAAGTGGTCAGTGCAAGAAATTGAACTGTGTATTTTGGCATCGTGCAGTTTGAAAACTGTTGCGGTCCTCACTTTCCAGACATATCAGCAGAATTGTGGACAATTAGGGCTAAACAGCTCAAGAGCTGCATATAAAACAAACAACCTAAAGAGCTGCGTATTAAGCAGCTCAAGAGCTGCCATATGCAGTAGCTAGAGAGATAAATGTCTTTTTCAGGGCAGAAAGCTGACAGAAAGTTAAGCAAAGACCGAGAACAGCTAATACTGCAAAATGGCTCTTTATACCTGTTGGTACAACCAATAAGAACAGAGTTTATGGTTGAGGCCTAATGAAGGAATGATCATCTACCAGCACCAAAATAAATTCTTATGTTTGGAAAGTGGCTTATCCACACTCATTCTTTATTTTACTCTAGGTAATGCAAGGAAAAGGTATGTTTCTTACATTCCACAGGTATCATAAAAGGAAAAAAGTTGATTATAAGAACTTCATGCCTGAATGGGATATAACATCAAACAATGGACTGAACACGAAGAGAGGAAACAAATGCTGCCATCTTCCAGGATGGACAAAGAGTTCCATCGATGCTCTGCAGGTATGTAGTATACCATGTTTTGATGTAGATAAGCTGAATTCTTGCAGACTACAAAAATCTTGGATCTTGCACCACAACTGCAATAGCAAGTATCACCAAGGAATTTATTTATTATAAATAAAAAACAATAAATATTTCATAACTTACTTTACAGCTTTCTAAAAATATACACCTATTTTAATATTCTCAAAAGTTAGTTCTGAGTTATACAGTTGTAGACAAAATATAATTTTTTTTATAATTGAAACTTTATCCTTTACAGTCTACTACAGAGATTAATTAATTCCCAATTAATAATACCCTGCTAGAGAGACTTTATCAGTGTTTAAATAGAAATAAACTGCAAACAAAACAAATAATTTACTAATATTTAACAAATGGTAGTTCTCCACAGAACTAGCTCCATCCCTATTTTAACAGCTAAATTGTGCCTACTATTATGACTAGTCATGTGAAACCTGAAGGGCTTCTGCAAAGCTTTCCTCAAGAACATCAAGCTCCCTGTTGGCTTCTAAAACACTGCCACAAGTAATCAAGTTTAAAGTTTTCTCACATGAGGGGGAAGTGTCTGGGGCATCTTTACATTTCACACAAGAATCAGACTCTGTCCCAGCATCCATAATTTCAGTGACATCTTTTGAAAAGTCATCCTTGCTCTGTGTTTCCTTTGAACTTTCTCTGCATAGTGGTGATTCACCTTTGTTTGGTTCCTTTAATGGTAAGTCTGTGGTCCCAAAGAATTCTTCACTTTTTGTAGCTTTTCTTTGCCTCTGATTTTTACTGGTAAACTCCAGCTCTTCCGTTGTATCAATCTCTTGCAGATCCAGCAAATCAAAGGTTTCACAGCCTGTGTGGATTTGCTCGGTGCTGCTGCCCGGGCTGCAGCCAAGGTCTGCTCTCAGTACATTCAAGAAGCTGCGCATTTTGGTCTAGGGGGTGATAGAAGAAAGGGGTGACACTTCTTCAGCCCCACACTCCTATCTGCCCAGAACTTGGGGCTCAGTTCTGAAGTAAGGAAAGGGAGGCTGCTTACAATCAAGTGACTACATTACACAGCAAGTGTCACCAAACCGAGTTAACTATTGTCCCTTTTTTGTGACTATGCCTGTGACTGGGAGTCTGCAAATCTCATTCATGGAGAGAGATGCTCCCCACTGAGCACTCTAGTTACCTTTACCCGCAAATACACCAGTGCATTTCCACTGAACTTTGGAAACATTGCTGCAGTCATATGCAGGGAGGGAGAATATTATAGGGGCAGCGCTTACCTCATCCAAACGGTTCTTATTTTCTTCTATATGACACTCAAACAGGTGTTCCAGAACTCTAGAAATGAACAATTAAATCATTTCACAGGAAGAAAACCAGCTTTTAGCAGATCTACATAATTATCTTAGGTTTTTTTTAATGTACGTTTCTTAGCTGAATGGGACCACTAAGATTGTTTCAGTTATGCTCTGTCACAAAGAGGGCTACCTGGAGTCAGTATCGCTTTGGGCAGCAGATAGTGACCATGGGGTGATTTATAGCACAACTCTGGGCGTGTTTGGGCTGCTGGGTCTAGAAACCAACTATCCAGTGGTGGTTCTGCTGGCATGCTGAAGTATCCAAAAATCTCTCAGGTATACCATAGTGGCTGATATACACAAGTATAAATAAAGGGAAGGAGTAAAATCCAGCTTCAGAAAAAGATCTAGAGAAGAGTCTCCAGTCTTGAGAGTTCTCTTCCATTGCTCAAGCAGGATGAGAAGAAATTTCAGCACAGAGGAGGTGTTCTGTGATGACTAAGGTACACAGTCACTGGACCAGCTTTCCAGAAGACCAAGTGAATTTAATTTCGTTTATATGAGAAATGAAAAAAAAAATTAGTTCAAGAAGGGTTTTAATGGAAGACAACATTACTGTAAAAAAGAACCAGAGGGAGAGTGCTCTTGAAATTTCTCAAAGATGAATTTTTAGATTTAGCATATTCTCATTGATAGACTTAACATGAAAAAAAAATGAGAGTGCACAGAATAGAAAAACAGCTGGGAACATTATCAGCCCATAGGAAGATCAAAATATTATGCTGAAATTAGACTGTCTTGAAAATGGATTTACAAAAATGGGTTAAAATTCTGTATCAGAAATACTGCAGGGGTTTTTTTTTTTGCTATAAACTGAGAGTTCTTTATCAGAAAGAACTGGTAGAGAAAGGAATTTGGGAGTACTACTCAAATACATGAATTGAATTGTAACTTATTGTTTAATTTTGAAAAACGTCTGATTTAGCAACTGATGAACCCTTATCTGAAACAGTATGTAATCCTAACAGCCCATGCTGAAGACTGAATTCATATTGGAACAGGAACAAAAGGGTGATGGAGGATGAGTTGTGTGAAAGATTAATAACTTATTTAGCAAAACAGATAATGCAGAGTAAAATTATTTCTGCTTAGCATTACTCCATCTAGGATTCCAGGCCAGTTTCTAACAGAGGCTTTATCTCATGGTACATAGCTGCACATCAAAGTACGTGACCCAGAGATCCTTCCTAGCTCCCCTTTCTCACATAAAGCAAAAAAGAAAAGGAAAAGAAACAAAACAAAAACATGGGGTAACTGTGTATCTATATATTCTTAAAGGCCAAGAAATGATTACACATGAGCTCTGTAAGAAAGGCAAGTAGTGTTTAGTTTCTGACACAGCATTACAAATATGAAGACAGCTGTAACCTACCTGTTAGAAAATAGCCCAAGGTTAAGAATTTCATTTGTTAGATCTTTAACGAAAGCTAAATATAAAAGCTCTTCTTCTCTGCAGGGAGAATAGAAAACCCAATGTTACTGTTTTAAAACAGCGACACGTATTACCCAATGCAGTAGGTCCAATCACCTTTATGGGAAATGCCATTAAGAAGATTGTATAGTTCTTGTCACCAGCTGCTACTTTTCAAAAAGGTAATTCTATCTGGACAAACTAAGCCTTTCATTCAATTTGAATAATAATAAAAAACCCTGTGCAAAATGTCAGACTATCGAAAGGTCACTATGGTGCTTCATGTTTATGCTAACTTTCTGTTGTGGTATAAATTAGTACAGACATCCTGAGTGAGGAAGTCAGCAAATCTTGGAAAGCGTTCAGAACCTGCTTTCCACTCAAGAAGAAAGGGGTGCTGACTTGAAGAAAGTGTAAAATTGCAGTTCGATGCTCTGAGTAAAGGCTTCCAAAGGAGCTTCTAGAGAATATGACTGCAGCTGAAAATTGCTAGTCCTCAATGAAAGCTCAGAAAAATGTAAGTGCTTATCTGACAGTCTCCATTCCTTTCAAACAACAGCTCTTTGATGTACAAAATCCTTGTTAGTGTGAGATGTGGCTTATATATTCTATTTTAATACCTCTTAAAGCCTTGTTGATGCCAATTGCTCTAAATTGGCGACTCTCCAAAAGTTTGGAGTTCTGTTTGGAAAACAAGAAAGAAACTGCTGTTTCTCTTTCATATAATCTTTCTAAATATCCCAAAGTATCCAATCAAGCTCTATCGAATCATTTTCCAGTCTTAATAAAACAGAAAATTAAAAAATGGGATACATTTTGCATTACTTCAGTTATGTAAAATTTGTCATCCAGACTGAAGATTCTCATTTTGGTTCCCTCTAAACTCAAGAGACACAGATATCTATAGCTGATCTTTGATACCTATATTATGTCTTTAAAGTAAATAAAGTACAAGACTGTCCGAAAGCACAAAGAATTAGACAACTTTTCTAAGGTCACACAATAAAGCATGGGCAGTGTTTCTGAATATAACTCAAATCTCTTCTAATTCTCATCAAATTTCAGAGCAGAAATGTGGTAAGAATGCCCCTCAACGTAATATTGTATCTTGCCAATGTCTGCTTGTCCTGGGACAGAGTTAACTTTCTTCACAGTAGCTAGTGTGAGGCTGTGTTTTGGATTTGTGCTGTGAAGAAGGCTGATAACACACTGATGTTTATAGTTGCTGCCAGGACAGTCAAGGACTTTTCAGCTTCTCTACTTTACCAATGTCTGCAGGGGCAGGAGAAGCTGGGAGGGAGCACACCCTAATTACTGGCTAAGGATTTGACCTTAGGTTTAGGACTGGGACCCAATTTGGCCAGTAGTCTATTTCATATCATGCATGTCATGCCCAGTATATCGATGAGGATCTATCTGGAAAGTCTGTCTCTCTCTTGGACTCTGGGGCTTTTCTCTCTTTTCTGGCACTGCGGTTTCAGGACTCTCTCGGCTCTGAGATCGTTAGCCAGGAACAAGCTGGGCCTTGGCCATTCTGTGGTCTCAAGTTACACTGTGTATCACTCATTTGTATACTTGTATATTATTATTATTATTATCACTTTTATTGTAGTTAGTTATTAAATTGTTCTTGTCTTGTTCACAAGTCTCTTCTCCCTTTATCTCTTTAATTCTCCCCCCCATCCCCAGTAGGGGGGAGGGTGAGTGAGCAGCTGCATGGTATTTCCTGCTGCTGGCTGGATCAAAACACAACATCGCTTCAGACAGATTACAGACCAAAAATGAACTGGAAACATTTAAAGTATAGCCACTGGTTAATAAGAGAAGGCTATCTTTCTGCCAAAATAATGACTTTTTTTTCAGTTTTGATTCACATGGAAATTTTCAAGTATTATACAACAATTCATAATCACGTCAATTTTAATTTAGATGCGAACAACAGTTTATGTCCTCATTTACTGTTTTGAATTAATCAGTTTTGAGGAAAGGTTTCTAGTTTAATGTTGCAAACTAGGAGAAAAACAGTTTAAGCATACTTACTCAGCCTCGGTAGTCCTTGCTGAAGGCTGCTGCGAATACAATGATGTCTCTCTAATCAGAAAATCAGAGGGTAAGAAAGAGCAGAAAGCAATATTCTTAAAAACCCCTCTATACTACCTTGCATCTCACTTTCTTCTGGAGCCATGCTATGCCATTATCACACTTCCACTTGGAAAAAAACCCCACCAGAACATCTCCAAACCCTGTTCCAGTAGCAAAATCAACTGCTTACACTAAAGCCTGAAAGTCTATGGTTCAAGAGTATTAACATCTCACTAGATGCAATGCTCCCATACCTCAAAAGACCTCAGTGTTACTTCAGATGCTATTCAGACTTCTACTATCCATGAGTACTTTTTTTTGCTCAGAGTACAAGTTTTACTTGGGTAAAAATGCCTTTGTATGAAAAGGTCAGAGAGCAAACGAGCAAGTCAAGCATGATACATAGGTCAGCAATGAGGAGAATCAACTGGGAGCCCTGGGTTCTGGGCTGATTTCCAAAACTGTTCTTGTATTGTAGACAATATCCTAAATCTCAGTGTTACATTTTCAGAAAAAGATGTGGGAAATGCTTCTGGTCTGCAATTCTTGCAGATCACAGATGCAAAAGGCTGTATGCCTGGAGACACTTTTTCCTGAAAGGAAATACCAATTGGAATACAATTCAGTATTTAGTTTAGTACTGTATAAGAAATATACAGTCTGTAAGGTCAGATGTATGCTCGGATGTACAGAACTAACAGTTGTATTAGCGTGTCATCACCCTCATTCCTGACAAAAACACTCATATATTTCAAAGCTCTCTCTCTTAATTGGCTTCCCAGTGGATTTTTATCATAAGAAAAGTACGGATTTTGAAGCTGGGAAAGTCCATTGATCTAAAAAAAGCAACAAAAAAGAAGCTCTGTGAGAAGAGACTTATAAGGAGAAATGGCAGTGAAGGCTTATGGCCTAAGAAGCAGCTGTATAGAAAGCAAGAAGGAATGCTTCAAATATTCCTTCCTGCTGTAAATCAGGCACCTTAGGAAGGAATATGGAGAAGCAGCTGTTCCTCTCTCAGGCTCATCCACAGTACATCTTCTGTCTTCAGCCTACAACACAGAGATAAAAATCTTTATTATCAGTGCAAATACTCATCAAATTTTACCATCAAAATTAGGCTAATAATCATCTGTGATAATTTTATGTCTTTTCTAAGAAACTTTGAGTAAACTGAGACATATGGCAGCAAAGGGTCATCAGCTTTGACGTCAGGGCCAACAGGAGATACAGAACATTTCTTCCCTCACAAGTATGTCAAGGATAATTCTCTAAAAGCCAGAAGGGGTCAACGTCACCAACAGGAGTAAAATTTGGTATGCAAAAACAGGAACCAGCACTCTAAATCACATCTCTTGAGCAGCTTTCACAAAACTGATGGAGTAAAGGTAAAGTTGACCACCTGCATTTTAAATGATAATACTCTGAAAGGGCCACTGTAAAGATACATGACTTACTTTTGTCACTTTTACAACAGCCAAAGAAAAAGTCACATATGACACTTCTGAAATGAAATCAGAAGTTCCTGACAGAACTTGAGTGAAGCTTTCCGAAGAACAATTTAACCTTTTCTTAATGAGGTCAGCTGCAGATGCAGCTCAATTCTTCTATTTTCAATAAAGTTATAAACACATATTCTCTCTCACTCCTCTCCTCCAATGAATAAAGCATAATTATTTGCCTTATGAAGCTAGAGACATGAAGAGTCTGACCCTGTAGCCTTTATTCAGGAAGAAAGTCCACAGTTATTCAAGTACTACTCTTATGTTTGATAGGGATGTTTCTTTAAGGACTTATCTGTATAGTGGCTACAAGATAAAGCACAAAGTAAGAACCTAAATTCTGATCAAACTCTTCCATGCAAATAATAGTACAAATTAAGACAAAATAACTTTTATTTTAGGTCTTTTGCCTGCTTCCCTCTGCTTCCAAAGTATGCTGGTATTCCATTTCATCTTTAAGATTTAAGACTCTCAAACCACCACACAGTAAGGCAATTTCTGAAAGACCAATAACCAAAAAACTAAGTTAAATTGTCACTAACACTTAGCAATTCAAATCAAAAAGATGGATGCAAATCTTTCTGTGAGTACAACAAAAAAATACTAGGAACTGGTAGGATTTAAAGTAGTGTGATTTTTCATTAAAGTGTTCCAGATACAGTCATCAAGACAGAAAGCAAACAGTATCAAGGAAAATGTCACTGCCTGCTGGTTTGGGTGCTTCCTCAGAGTAAGGGACACCTTGGTTCCTATTCTTCTGTTGAGGGCTTTTTGGAATATGTTATCTAATGTAAAAATTAAGAAAAAAAAAGTCTGTGAAAAAGAGGTACCTTCTTTTCCTGAAAAATAATGTACCAATTATCTATGTCCTTAACAGATATTTAAGTGATAGTGCACTTGTAAAAAACGTTGAAAAAAATAATTTTTTTAAATATCCTAAGATCTCTTCACATGCCTCAATAATTTTTTCTTATTTTTTCCACTTATTTTTCTGAAACTTGCTCTCCTCTGCAGAACTAATTCATCTCACGATAATAAAAAAAATGAAACTTAAATCAGTTGTGTACTGCTGTGGCAGAAATGAAGTATATACTCCAAAATCATAGTGAAGGGTGTGGTAAGAGTACACAAATGATTGATAGATCATGATTGTATTACCATCAATGGGATCTTCTGCTGTTCAGGCATAACTTCTTTCTCAGATGCTTTGTCTGCAGATGGAGAGCTAAAAAATTTAGAGATGTATTAGATTTCCAAGAAGTCTATTTTCAAAATATGCAGGATGAGAATACCAGTGCCACTGTGGAAATTTCCCATCAGTCTGAACGGGACCTAGTACTAAAATGTCTTGAACAGTTTAGAAAATTTCCGCCAGACTTCCATTCACATAATAAAACCAAGTTATAGTTAATTTTGAAGGATGACAACAGTCTACATAGGCGATCCAAATCCATTATTTGGCTGCATGTTTACAGGGGATAGCTAAATTATCCAAAATAATTGTTCAGAATTGAGAATGGAGCTGATCCTCTACATTAAAAGCATACCAGGAAAATATGTGACCCACAGTCAGGAAATCAATAGTTGCAATATGAAGCTGAAGCTATCACAATTCCAGCCTGATGAAATTCCTACTTTTTTCTAGTATGAAAACAGAATTAGACATGCAGGCACTGAGGACACAAAATAAAAGATTTCTCTTTATGAGGTAGTAGTAATAAAAACAAAACTAAATCAAAACAAAACTTTTTAACAAAAAAAAATTATCTTTGCATGATGTATTAATAAATTAATTGAAAAGCATGAGACTACAGGGGCAACAGTGGGGAACTACTTGCATGCTTATAGTGGTTAATTCTTTAGAAGACAGAAAGCACAACTATACACTAGAAAGAGCAAAGAAAAGAAAGAGGGGACAACTATCCCCAGTTAGATCTCACAGTTTGGATTTAGTGGTGCTTTGTATCCAATATGTATAGATGAAACTAGTTGCTCCAGAGAGAAGACAACAAAATATGCCAGTGCAAGACAGAAAATCACATTCTGTCCTAGCTTTTGCTAAGGCATATCTAGAATAATTCCGAATAAGTACTCTGGTTTTATACAAACATAAATGAGATCAAAACATGTTGCTTTTATGAAGATACTGTTATGATAACATGTAAATTCCACAGTTTAAACATAAAGTTTTAATCTCTGTACCTGATCTCACCAGTCTGCGGTTGAATTTCCACATACTGCTTGCAGTGATTTTTCCTTTTCCTTCGAACAGGAGTGTAATACCTGTACTCTGACAGGAAAGATTTAGCATCCGATATTAAAGTACGTGGAGTAAAAGGTTTTCGGCTATCAGTAAAGAATTCGGAGTGCCTGTCCAGAAGATCCCCACTGCATACTTTGGAGCTGCTTTGTTGATGCTTCTGGGAACGACTAATGCTCACAAAACTATCAGTGGAGCAACTGCATGAAAGTCCAGACCACTTTCTTGGTGTACCTGAGGTACTGGCACTTGAGTTTGAGTCACATGTATTAGATGTATTCCGAGAAACATTTCTGGCATATTTTACTGGACTAGAGTGAACAAAGCCATGCTCTCTGTAAGGAGACAGCGCTCTTGATAGGTACTGTTCTTGCCAAGCACAGGGGGAGAGACTGTCTTTGTCTTCTGCTTCCAAGAAACCCTATAAAAAATTGAAACAAGATTTGATTGCTTTGCAAGTTACCAGCTTTGCTCGAATTAGTACTCCCAGCTATTATTGTTACCAACTTGGAGGTATCTTCTATATAAAAAATTTCCATTTTTGTAAAGTCAAACAGGTTTCAGAGCAGCCCCAGAGATAACAGATTTTAAAACCTAGTAATTGTAAATAAGATAGTAACAAGAAAATGGTTTGCTTCAGTAGCAGAACTTTGGTGCTTTGTTACAGAATATTGATGGCCACATCAAACCAAGAGTTTCAATCATTTTAGTCCAAAGACTCAATATGTTTTTAAAAGACATGGAATCATTGCATTGAGGCAAATTATTTTATCTGGGTATGCCCTGTTCATACCACCTGAGCGAGGTAAGATAGACATTATCCACAATTATCCTACTGACTAGTTCATAGTGTGTATTCTCTTCCAGTGCTGAGTTGTTGCCTCTGTCTCCAAATCCTATTCGCTTCCAAGCGTATCACATAGCAGCTATCTTATAAGATGTATATTCTGTAGGGGGCACTGCTTTCTGATTCAGTTTAGACTGACATGGAAACTACTGTACTGTGGTTTAAGACACAGAAAAAGAAAACTATAACCTTTGTGACCCTTTTCTTCCTGTAGCTGAGAGATGCACATCTTTGGTAGCGCTACATGAGCACATGATGTTACCTTGTGTAATGGCATCCTGCTCCATGAGAAATGTCCTCATTGCTATAATAATACAAACAATCATAACGTCCTCCAGCAGACACAGTCAGATTTCTATCCTGTTCTCCTTTGGGTTTCTCAACCCAGCAGGTACATAAGCAGCTGTGAAACTTTCCCTCTAACACTAAAGAATGCCAGTAGTGCAAGTAGTTAGCTTACTACAGTTAAACAGGACAGAGAACAATGTGCTGAGTTTATGAATAAATATACTGAACTTCAGGTGATGGTAGAGAAATGGTATTACTTCTCCTGCTTCTTAATTGTTCAACACATGAGAGTTTAAAAATGTATTTCAATGCTCAGAAGCAAACTCATATGCAATCTTACTTTAAAAGGATACAGTTGAAAGGCTACTAGTTAGACAACAAACTAATAGAGACAAATCAGTAGTATGTGGTGGTATGGCTAAGGTAAGATGTAGGCAGTGTGTGGTTCAGACTAAAATTACGGTCAGCTAACTCACTCCTCACCAAAAGAAGCGAAGTACAGGTCTATCTTATATGCAGGTTGAAATGCAGGTGTGTCAATTCTGGTTAGTAACAATGCCTAGTTGCAGTTTTCAGTAACTATCTATTTGGTATAGGATCTATCCAAACAAAGCTCACTGATCTGGAAGACAATCAAAACAAAATGGGAAACCCTACAGCAAAAGCTCATCTATGTGTCTCTTCCTCTTAGAGATCTGTACAGTTACTTTTAAGTCTTGAGTATGTTAAAAGTTAGTGAAGTGGAGCACTTCAACAAATATTAAGAGTAGTTAATAAAGCGGAAGACAGCTACACCAGAGACTAGTGATGAACATGAACATAAATCTGTCCTGTAGAACGTGATGGGGAATTTTCCAACACATTCAATTTTAGAAGGACTGAGTTTTATCAGAAACGTCATGTTAATGTGAGGGATAAGAAAACAGTCATTAACCTAAAAATAAAATTTTGGTAACTCAGTCTATAATTGAGAAAGGTTAAACAATGAATTATTTGGAAAGACCATGCTGTTTTTTCTGCTTTCTGAAAACAAAACAAAAACAAACCTCAAAAAACCCACCCCCAACTTAATGCTTAAAAAATTCAACATTATTCTTTGATTGTATTACGACACTGTGACAAAGACAGAAACACAACTAAATCTAAGTGATATTTCAAGCTTTTTTTTTTTTTCTTTGTCAAACAGGAAAGAACAATTAAATAGAAAGGAATTTTATTTCTGTCCTAGAGAGAATTTTGAAAAATTTGCAAGTTCAGAGTATAAGTACCTGGACAGGGTATGTGTACTAGTAAACATGCTTTACAATGTGTCTAAAAAGTTAGGAAGCATCTTAGCAAGACAGCTGTTATATATTCTTTTCCTGTCTAGGATACAGCCATCCACTGAATATTCTGTTGATCCATGAAAGGTATGTGTGACATTTTATGATCTCCAAGGACAGCCATATTGCAGTATTAGAAGATTAAATCAGAAGCCTAGAAACAATCAGAATTTTGTATAAACTAATTTATTTCATCCACATGTATAACTATTTATGCAATTCGAGTTCTGTCACACACAACTGCATGATGGAGAAGAGGTGACTAATCTTGTGTGTACTCAAACTACCCAGCAATGCAACTCCCAGAGAAAGTGCTTGCACCTAGGTCCTGCAACAGTGAGGCGGACAAGCTGAGGATAACGTTATTCTGGAAAATCTCACTGCCATACTGTGCAATCAGTATAATACAAGGCAAAATAACATCTCTTTATTATGCTTCTATCAAACAAGTAAAAACTATTAAGGAGAAGCATTACATTACTGAAGTCAACTGAAGGAACTGCTTCCCTATGGAAAGCCTGAGAAAGAGTGGATCCAGCATGATATCACTTAAACATACACTGTGACACACATTTGTTTATGACATATTACCCTAACTGCCAACTGAAAAGATTCACAGATTCACCCAGCAGCCCATCCTGATCTCACAATTAATCCACATGGAAATTATTTTGAGAGTCTGAAGGAGGGATTCATTGGATCTCCAGTGGTGCTTCATTGCCTAAGCTCAATATAAACCTGGAGAAAATCCTTAAGAACACTTCACTTTTTGAAAATAATCACATGATTAAGATGTGGGTTGAAGGCTGGATGTGTGATTTTCCCCACCAGTAAGTGACGGTGGAATGAATGCCAACAAAACCAGCAAAATCAACTGTAAAAGAAAGTACCTGTGGGAATTCTGCAACATTATTAGTGAGACTTTTGAGTTCTCCAACTGGGGAAGGTGGGGAGGGGGAGAAAAAAAAATAAAAAAGAAACTTAGAAATCCCTGTATATTTGTTAAAAATTAATTTAACTGTAAACTAGTAATATATAGCACAGCATAGTAATACATTTCTACTAAGCTAGTAATATATAGTATATTAACCTATGTAGCTCATAGTATAAATTGTAAACATGCAGATATTTTCTATTCTAGCATTCAATTCCGAAAAAAGGTGTTCTTAAATGTTCAATGCAATATCACTTTTATCAACGTTGCATTTTTTCACAACACTCTTACTGTTACTGCTTTGAATCTACACTACTCCGTTTCTTCCCTTTCTGAACTGCTCGATCAACACAGTGAATATATGTTTTGTGGCATTCAGTAAATGCTACTTAAATCACAGAACACACTGTTATCATACCATATATTTCCTTCACAACAATTCCACACAAAAATATTCTCCCAAATCAGTAGACTTATCTGTGCTACTCCAGTACCCCAAAATGTTCAGTTGCTGATTCCTAATGCAAAGAGATTTTTTTTTTAGTTAACTGAGCCAAAATAAGCCCTCCTTGATGGTGTCTCATGTGAGCCAGCTTTATTTTACTACTACAGCATAATTAAATGCTGAACTGATAACATGCAGTAACAATGCCAAACAAATGCCTGCGTTAGCAAGCAGTATAATAAGGTTTAACAGTGCGACTGTTTGCCTGTAAAGTAGTTGCAGTGGTAGCTCTGCACTACAGAAAACAGATAAGACTGGAAAGTTTCAGAATCCACCTATATAGATGTTTTGAAAAGCTAATTCCATACCTTTCAGTATATATTATGAGCAGCTTAATTTTTCTTGTGTACTTTTTACTGTCAGTGATTAAAACAGTTCATGGAGCTGCAATATAAATTAGACTGTAGAAGCATTTTTGAACGTATGATGACTGGTGCCCCACAATATGCAAAATAATAATAACAATAAAAATATTCATTAATATTGGCTAAAACTACACAACTACACCTCATGAAAGCCATATGTTCTATTCCTTGGACCCAGTTGAGTTGTTTATCCT